AGTAATGAAATTAATAATGTAAAAAGATTTTATTATTTATTTTGAAATTTACCTGTAGGGTTTTCTACTTCTAAACCAATGTAAAAGAATGTTGAATAAATGGTTCGTACAATTGTAGTGGTATTTGGTGGTTTACTGCCATCCTCGGTTCCATTGGAAGTAGGTTTGGTATCGACAGGATCGCTACCTTCTTCACTAATTGGTTTAAAATTATAATTTCCATTTAAAAATTCATTAGCTTCTTGCTCTGTAGTACAATGATGAATTTTGTCAAACCCCTTCACAAAAGGATGTGCCAAGGTTAAATTTTCCACAGTCTCTAATTTGGATATTAAGTGACGAATTTTCGATTCAACCATTCCAGACCTTTTTAATAAAAGACAGATTAGATTGGATTAATGATTTTTTTCTAAAGAGACACGAATAGAGTTTTTAATTGAAAAAAATATTTTTTTTTAAATATACAAACCACTTCAATTGTCTTTCTGATGAATCCGAAGATGCTATTATTTGGAGATAGTATCGATAATTTTGAAAAAAGGTATGTTTAGTAAAAAGATCAACCCATTTTCCAGTACCAATCATCACTTTATCAGCAATTTCAGCAGCTGTCAAAAAAATAAAATAAGAATAAAAATATTTAAAATAATTATTGTGTCATTCTAATACTATATAATATTATAATTTGAAATATCAATCATTACATAAAGTTTACCTCGCTTAAATTCATCCTCAATTACTTTTTTTGTGGACTTTGTAACATTATGTGTTGCACACATAGAAGGATATGCTGGTGTAATAATTGGCATCAAATGAAACTTATCTCCATGATACAACTATTCATTATATTATTAAAAAAAAAGTTACACTAGAAAATAATAAAAGTAATTATATACATATATATATATATATATAAATGTAAGATTTACCTTTGGATTCCATACTCTAACCTGGAGTGGGCCATCTTCTATAGGTTTTAATAATACAGGTTGTGGCCATTTCCTAAATCAATTTTAATAAATTAAAAAAAAAATCCAATGTTAAAATACATTTGTATTATTAAATTGAAATTGTCATTTGCGACATACCATTGATACATTATTCTAAAAAATCTTGATACAATTGCTCCTGCAATTGCATTTGGATATAGTTGACATATACGAGCAACCAACATTGCCCAAGCAACGCCACCAAAAAAGCCCATAACATTTGAATAAATTGCACGCCCTATTCAATCAATAAGCATAAGTAATGACAACATTAAATAAATACAATAAACATAAATAATAAAACTTTTTTTTTTTACTTTTTGCCCATAATTTTATACATCTTAATGATGTTCTAAAAGCTGGTATATTAGGTACAAGTCGCAATATCTCGTCTGTTACTCTAGATCCTATTTTTACAAAAATATATGTATAAATTATTATCATCATCATTGTCACTTTTTTTTTTTTTTAATATTTTTGTCAATATACCATTCAAACTTCTAATACAGGCATCATCCAAATTTTTTAAGAGCGAATTTTCTCTTAATTCAAGATCATCTGGTACTTTTGATAAATTTAATTTTGCAAATATAAGATCAATCTGAATTTGTTTTTTTTTTTTAAAAAAAAAATTTGCAAGGATTAATTAATTTTTAAAAATAATAATAATAACAATAATATAAGCGCGACTCACAAGAATATCTTGAAATTTCATTTTGATTACAGGAACATAAGCATCAGTGACGCTCTATAAAATAAAATTATTATGAATCATTGTTTTGTCCTCCCAATTAATGTTAAAAATAACTGTGAATAAAATATGTATACCGTCAACTCTGTAACATCAGTATTTTTTTCAAGAGATTCGGCCATATCAGTAAAAAAATCTTCACGTAAAACATGTCTAGGAACCACACAAAGTGTATCAATATCAGATCCTAATAATTTAATAATTTGAATTTTTTTTTAATTTATTATTATTTTAATTTAATTAAACCATTATTAAGAAAAATTAACAAACCAGTTCCGTGGACACCTAGTCTATATGAACCAAAAGTGAATATTTTCCCACCAGCCTCTTTAGCATCTGCTTCAGGTAAATTTTTTTTTTTACTTATTCTATAAACAAATTCTTTAACGAGTTTGTCTAGTTTTCCAAGAACCACTTCACTATAAGAGTATTAAATTTTTATTTAATTAAAAAGTGGGGGGAGTTTTTTATATAGATGTATAGACGTTATATATATTTAAAATAGAAGATCTAACATACCGACGACGACTCTCTTCATCACTTTCAAAAGTGCCTTGAGCAGTGAGTTCTTGAACCAACAAATCTGTAACTTCGTATTCTCTTGGAGAAGGGTAATTTAAAGCAATGGGTGGCGTAACGCCAAGTTGTTTTTGTTGACTAAAGTATTAAAAAGAAGTGATTGTTAAATAGAATAAAACAAAAAACATTTAAATAGTTACTAATTTATATTTATTGGTTTTTCGGTACCAAAAAAACCAGTCACTCCTTGTGCATGCGCTTGTTGGAGAGAAACGAATGCACTATGATTTAGTGATGAGTCAGAATGATGCATACCCGTTCGAAAGATCAGACATTTCTTAAAAAAGCTCTCAAAAGATTGTGTTGATGATTTTTATTCTCTTTGATAAAAAATTCTTTTTTTTTTTTTTTTTTAAATAAAAACTTGTAAATTAAAAAAAAATTATATATTAATATAAAATTAAATTGGCTGACTTATTATTATTTATTATTATTTCTATTATTTCAAAAAAAAAAACTTTTTTTATACTCAGCATTGTTATATATATATGTACGCAATGCAACTAACCGAATTTATACATTTGTTAACTCAATCAATGTGATGTGACATAATTTTTTATATTTATATATATATATATATATATATATATAAAAGCACTTTTAACGTATTATTTTTTCAACAAAAAAAAATTACATGCACATATTATATTAATTAATTGAAATAAAATGAGTCAAAGAAAGTTAAATTTCAATGTTGGAGAAAATTATGAAGTTATTGATGTAGTTGGAGAAGGAGCTTATGGTGTAGTTTGGTATATATATACATATATATTTAACCCAATTTCCTAGATAATTCATGACAATATATATTATGTGACGTTGATTTTGTTTACTTTTTTAATAGTTCAGCTGTGCATAAGCCAACTGGACAAAAGGTTGCCATTAAAAAAATAACACCATTCGATCATTCCATGTTTTGTCTACGTACATTAAGAGAAATAAAGCTTTTGAGATACTTTAACCATGAGAATGTTAGTATTGAGAAAGAAAAAGAATCAATTAATAATATTATTATTATTGTTAACATTACCATTATTATTACCATTACCATTAAATTAAAATATTTTTTTATTAGATCATTGCAATTTTAGATATTGTAAAACCCGAAACTTTTGATAAATTTACTGAAGTGTGAGTAAACTTTCATTCATTCATTCCTCTTTTCCTTTTTATTTCTTCTTATTATTGTTTCAGTCCAAGACAAGTAATCCAATTTTAAATTATTGTTGTTTGAATCAAAGCTATCTTATCCAAGAACTTATGGAAACTGACATGCATCGTGTAATTCGTACTCAAAATTTAAGTGATGATCATTGTCAATATTTCATTTATCAAACTCTTCGTGGATTGAAAGCATTACATTCTGCCAATGTACTTCATCGTGATTTGAAACCAAGCAATCTTTTGTTAAATGCTAATTGCGATCTAAAGGCAAGTGACAAAAAACAAAATTCGATATTTTTTAACGTGCAAAATTTAATTTAATTTATGAAATTATCATCGATGACCATGAATAGGTATGTGATTTTGGTCTGGCAAGAAGTGCAAATTCCAGCGACGAACATAGTGGATTCATGACAGAATATGTTGCTACAAGATGGTATCGAGCTCCAGAGATCATGTTGACATTTAAAGAGTATACCAAAGCCATCGACGTTTGGTCTGTTGGTTGTATTTTGGCAGAAATGTTGAATGGGAAACCATTATTTCCTGGAAGAGATTGTATCCTTTATTTATTACAGTTATTGTAAAAAACAACTTTATTTATTTTTCATGAATGATTTTAAAATTTCCATAACTCATTCTGCAACTTTAAAACAGATCATCATCAACTCACTTTGATTCTTGATGTTCTTGGTACACCAACTATGGAAGATTTCCATGGAATTAAAAGTCGAAGAGTAATTAGTTTACAAAATTTTTTCAATTGTTAATTTATTGTGAGTAAAATAATTAAATAATAATCATCGTGACCATCATCATTCTTATTATAATGTGGTTAATTAATATATATACCTAGGCACGTGAATATATCAGGAGTTTACCATTTAAAAAACGGATCCCTTTCTCTAAAATGTTCCCTGATGCAAATACGCATGCTATAGATATGTTGGAGAAATTATTAACTTTTAATCCTACCAAAAGAATTACTGTTGAAGAGGCTTTAGAACATCCTTATTTGGAACCTGTAAGTTATTAAATAATTGTTTTTGAGAATAATTAAAATGATCCAAATCAAATTATTTATTAAATTGTAGCGATTTTCCCACTTTTCCACTACTCCATTTTGATAATAATATTAGTATCATGATCCTGAAGATGAACCAGATGCTGATCCAATTCCAGGATCTTTCTTTGATTTTGATAAACATAAAGATCAATTGACTAAAGAACAATTAAAACGTATGTAAAAGAATTATCTTTTTTTTGTTGTAATCAAATATTTTTTAAAAGAGGAATTAATATAAAATTTTTTTTCTAGAACTTATTTATGATGAAATCATGAGACCAATATAAGGATTTATTTATCATTATTATTATTATTATTATTATTATTATTATTATTATTATTGTATTATTATTATTATTATTATTATTATTATAATTAATAACAACAAAAACCAAACCAAGATTTATTTAAAAAATATCGAATTGATAATTAGATATACTATTGGGTTGTTTTATAAACAAAGATCTTGGCGCGTACAAGATAAAATTCATTATTTATTTTGTTAAAATTCTACATTAAATTAAATTTTACTAATATTATTTTATTAATTAATTAAATTTTATTGTATCATTCATTATATATCGTTATTTTTATTTATTGAACACTGAATCTAATACAATCATCTTGAGAACCGCGTTTAGCAACCGGCATGATCCAAGGTTGATGAGTTTCTGTACCACTGAGAGTACATAAGCGATAAGCTCCAGCCGATAATCCTTCATCTACTGTTGTCGAAAGACCAATAAGACCAGCTCCGGCTGAAGATCCAGCATCTTCTAAACCTTTGAAAAATTCAAATTCAGTTGGATTCAATGGAATACCCGATTTTAGTGGGAGTTCTTGAACTACAACGTGTAAATGACCAATGATAAGACCATCATCGCTAATAGCTTGTGGTTTTGTGTAGTAAGCCGTCTTAGGGTCTGAGAAACTGCCAGTTACAACATTTTCCACTACAACTTCAATATCGAAAGCTTGCTTGGCCGGAATTATTGCACCATTACCAGGTGTTACGATTATAGTTGATGGCATTTTACTTGCTGCAGGAATTTCGCCTTGAACTGTTGATGAACATGAACCAGTTTCAATTTGGTGACCATTTGTAGGTGGTAAATGATGTACATTATTAGTACAAATATCATCTCTCTTTCTAAGCCTGGCGGCATCCAAGGTGGACATAAACAAAACACCAACAATGAGTGTAATAACTAATTTCAATTGCATTTTTGATTATTGTTATTATTAATCGTTAATAGAAATTTTACAAATTGAGGTAAATTTACTGCTTCCAGGCAATAAAAAAAGAAGAGAAAGGCGAAAAAAGTCTTGGGGAGTAAAGAATAGGCTGGATTTTCAGGTAAGTAAGATAGGGATAGGTGAAATGGATTTTTTATTTTGAAGGGGAAGGTTATTTTGGTTATTTTATATGATATTATTCCGTGCTAAATGTATGGAAATTTTGTTTTCATTATATTTTACAAACTTTTTTTTTTTTCATTGCCATTTGATTGATTCCTTAATTAGCATACAATTATATTACATCACACGATTTAGATTTCATTTTTACATTCCTTGCTCGATATTCTAATGGCAATAAATGCCAAGTGGTCATGATATTAGATGGGAAGGATAAACGATAATCAAAATTCAAAATTATTTCACACAATGAAAAGTATTGTGTTATCATAAAATTCAGGAATGTCTCGGCCGAATCTACGGGGATTTATATATATATATCCAATACACATGCTATTGTTACGCCAGTGTGGAGTATACTTGATCGAAATTACAAATTCATTTTTATAATTTAATTCAACCGATCGATTTTTTGAATTTCCATTATTTTACTGGTCTATTCCATCTTAACAATGAAAATGGCTAAAATGCATTAGTATTTGAACAGTCACAACAGGTGCATGGGATTATTTCGTCATAATGGATTTTATATGTTTTATATATGAAGCAAAATTTTTAAAAAATCCGTTATAATGCGAATTCATTATTATTATTATATTATTGTTGTTTTTCAAACACTAATTACCATTTTTGAGAAATTCACTATTTTTTTTACATACATAAAAATTTTGTGTAATATTGCTATGATTTTTTACTAATTAGTATATATTTTTAATTCCATGACCAAATTTGGTAATGATTAATAAAAAAGGAAATAAATAATACACAAAATTTACTTGCTGAGCGTATATTTGGAATTTTCAAAATGCTAAGGCTCTGCCAATTTTTAGTTTGAGAAAAAACTAGCCGGTGAGTTTGAAACTTGAGTCACGAACAATAAAACTAATCAGTTAAATTTTCTAAAAAATTAATTGATTATAGATGATCTGCATCGTATAACCAATATAAAAAAATTTTTTGCCATATATTACATCTCTTAAACGGTCAAAGTATTCTTTAATGGTAACATAAAATAATTTTTTGATTGCGATCTTGCATTCTTATTGGTCAATTTGACGATTTGCAAAGTAAAAATAGTCAACCGACCAACTTTAAAGAAGATCTTACGAAAACCACAAGGGCAATAAACAAACTTATTTGCAGATCAATCAGCTGAATCTCAAAGATCATTTTTGTATAAGAAGTGATAAGTTGTTTATAACAGAAATATATACATGAGTCTCGACTTGGCGATTTAGGGGTTTGATGGATAATAGATAACAAATTTCTTAATGAATTTTTTTTCATACATTAGGCATTTCTAAAAATTCATATTAATATAGTCGTGTGACATATCCGTGAGGCCCCTGAGGCTGCTTTTCTATCTCGTTATTTTTATAATAAACTCGAACTTCGCTGTTAGAGTAAAATGAAAGTACTCCATTAAAGCTTTCTAATGAATACTCCTTCGTATCGAAATGTCTTCTCTACATGTATTCACGGCTATTCAAAAACGGTATTACTTTTTCACTTCAAAGTTCAGGTTATTTCTTAATATCGCTTTAAAAGGCTTGATAGTAAATGAGAAGGTGTAGAATAATTAGGCTTTCATATGGTTATTACTTTATGGGGGCATTGGTTAATAAGTTTTAGAGAAGCTCACGAAAAACTATTTTATAGAAATTTAATAGTCTTCGGCAAGAACTAAAAGGTATTATTTTACATTTCTGAATTTATATTGATTAAAGTTTCATTAATGATTATTAATTATTGTTTAAATAAATAATACATAAAACGTATGAATTGTCTTTAACATTCATTTCGATCAAACCCGCCTATATAATTATTGAATAATTTGATAAACATTCGTTTTGCAAACTTTATAGATCTTGACTAACGTTTACTTCGATAAAACCCGCCTATATAATTATTTGAATAATTTGATAAACATTTGTTTTGCAAGCTTTAAGGACAAGATCTATGAACAAAATACACAGTGTATCTCGATTTAGCGGATTTAGGGGTTTAACGGATAAATTTTCAAGACCAAATCTTTCTATAATAATAATTATTTTATCTCGATTTAATGGATTTAACGGATTTTTCATATATATTCGATTTAGCGATTTTTTTTTTAAATCTATATGTTCGAGCATAATAAAAATATCTCGATACAACGGATAATGTTGATACACCAAACGTAATTAAATCTTAATGATGATGAAATTCTAAATTAGAAATCTTCTGATACAAAAAATTTTCGATAGATTTGCAATAAACTAGAAGATTATTTTATGAATGAATAAATTTACTACTTATTATTGTTACATTTTATTATCATATGTATATTTTATTTGTCGTATGTATTATCATATTATTTGTTTTATTGTATTAGTATTAATAATATTGTATAACGTATCACGTGATCGTTTCATAATATCTTGGTTTTGCGGATATCTCGACTTAGCGGATAATTTTTTTGGAACGAACATATCCGCTAAATCGAGATACACTGTGTATACTAACGAAAGTTTTATCAATTATTTAATAGTTTGTACAAGATTTAAAGAACAAAATATTCTAACAAACGTTTTATCAATTATTCAATAGTTTGTGTAGGAGTGATCGAAGTAAGCTTTGAGGACAAGATCTATGAACAAAATATACTAACGAAGGTTTTATCAATTATTCAATAATTTGTGTAGGAGCGATCGAAGTAAACAAAATATACTAACGAGGGTTTTATCAATTATTCAATAGTTTGTACAAGTTTTAAGGACAAGACCTATGAATAAAATATACTAACGAAGGTTTTATCAATTATTCAATAATTTGTAAAAGTGTTAAGGACAATATTTATGAAGTTTGTAAAATATTCCAACGTATATGAATATAAAGGCAAAATTTGACTTCTTTATTAACAATCTGTTTTAAAAATTTTCATAAAGCAGATACATATGATAAAGTTATATCTCAAATTTGGTGATGGTTGCTACTAAATATATACCTTGTCAAAACTCTGACGATCGACAAAACCCCAAATGCGAAACTTTCTAATAAACAATTAATGTGTAACCTGTCGAAACTCTGTCATATTAAGGGTAGAGTTCGGTTACACAGTATATGGGGCATGCTTGCAACAAAACCAGACAAAGTGAACATTGGTATAACCAAGAATTTCAGGGATCAAAATTTAGTCATTTGTAATGTGA